TGTCGACGAGAGTTCTGGGGAGCAGCTGATCCCTGAACACAGGGAAAGCCCAGGAGTGAGGAAAAGCTAGAGGGCACTGCAGCATCTGTGCTTAAAACCCAAGGCGAGAGGGTAAGAAGAGGGCAGAAACATGCCATGCTTTATCCTGCCGTCTGAGCTCCTTCCCCTAGGACGGAACTGCTGGTCTGTGGCAACCAGAGGGGCTCAGTGAAAAGAGCCTGTTTTCAGTAGGTGCATGAGCTTCAGCAAACAGCTCCCAGGTAGTTCCTTCTTATAGTTTAACATTTTATTTCTGAAGTGTAGAATCTAAAGAAAGTTCAGTTATCTCATTGGAAGTATGTATCTTTTCTTCCATCTAGTCTTATATATTATTTTATTTATTTATTTTTACTTATTGGGTTAAAGTTTACAGAGTGAATTTGTTTTCCATTCAACAATTTGTACACATTTTGTTTCGTGACATTAGTTGCAATCCTCTCAATGTAACAACACTCTTCCCACTTCCTCCCTGGGTTCCCCGTTTCCATTTGTCCTTCTTTCCTGCCCCTTCCTGCCTTCTGAGCTTTGTTTTGGGGCAAATGCCAATGCTATTCTTCTGGTTTCATATGGTTGATTGTTCTGAGGAGTATGTTCCTTACAAGTATTCCAAAAACCAATCCCACTGCCATCGAGTTGATTCTGACTCATAGTGACCCCCATTGGGTTTCCAAGGTGGTAAATCTTTATTGGAAGTAGATTGCCCTATCTTCCTTCCATGGAGTAGCTGGTGGGTTTGAACTGCCAACCTTCTGGTTAGCATTCAGATGCCTTAGGCACTGTACCACCAGAGCTCCTTTCACAAGTATTACTGTTCACTTTATAGACATATCGTTTGGCTAAAAGATGACCCCAGGGGTGGGTTCAGTTTCAGGTTTGAAGGGTATCTAAGGGGCACAGTCTCTGGCATTCCACCAGTCTCTCAGATGGGTAAGTCTGGTCAAAAGTGTGTATCTTCTGGTTATAAAATAAAATCTGCACAATTCATACTGTTACCTTTTTTTGTTACTTTGTAAACTACTTTGAGGTATGATTTATATACAATAAAATACACTCATCTTACAGTTTGCTAGTTTACAGTACAATGAGTTTTGACAAATGTATATATCCATGTAACCACCTCCACAGTCAAGATATTGAACATTTCTATCCCACATGATCTCTCAGCAATTCCAACTCTTTAACCTCTGGCCACAGGCAGCTGATTTGCTTTCTGTCACTATAGATTAGTTTTGCTTTTTCTAGAGTTTCATATCAGTGGAATCATTCAATATACACTCTTTTTTGTCTTCTTTTGCTCAGCATAAGGTTGAGATTAGCCATGTGGTTGTGTATATTCTTTTTGATTCCTTTTTATTGCCAAGTGGTGTTCTGTCAGATGGAGGTACCACAATTTGTTTATCCATTGATCGCTGATGGGCATTTGGGTTTGCAGCTATTATGAATAATGCTTTCATGTATACAGGCCATTTTTGCTGACATATATTTTCATTTCTCTTGGGTAAATATCTAGAATTTCTGGGCCATAGTATGTTTCATTTTATAAGAATCTGCCAGTACACATGTTGGCCTTTTTAAGAACTTGATTTTGCTGCTGTTGTTGTTGCAAGAGTTGCCATTTGCCTCTAGTATCATCTTCACCATTCTGTCCCCATTGGGTTTTGTAGACTAGGTTTTGTAGACTCTCTGAAAACAGGTCAGTATGTCAGTGGCTGTTTGGTCTAAAAATTCTGGGTTAAGGTCTAAGTCTGTTCTAGCTGAGACAGTACTGGGTTACAGGCCTTGGTTATTACTCCTGATAAAGAGACAGCACAGGCCAGATAGAAGGGTTTAAACAAATAGAGTTTGTGCTCTTTGGAAGAGAGTTCATTTCAAAACTGTGGGAAAGGCTGTAGTTACACCAGTAGTGGAAACAGCTAATCCTTGAAAGGTCTGAAGTATTTGCAGGGGAAATTGTTCCTGGTGGAGCAGGTGAGGGCTTCTAACCTAGACCTTTCCTTAACTTCCCAGTTCTCTTGAGAGAACCTGGTGACTGGCTCAGTCTTTGAAGTACTGAGAGCTACTATGTGGCAGATTTAGGAAGCCTTGGTGCAGGAAAGTTTCTGTTTCTAACATAGCAAATGGAAATGAAATACCAAGTCTATTCCACAAGATGGAAATTTGTAAGAAAGTTGCTTTGTAATGCAAATAATATGCAAATGCAGTTGCTGTTCATCTATACATTAAAGAACAGCCAATTCAAGTTGCTATTCGATTTTTACCTTTTTTTTTTTTTTTTTTTAAGTAGATAAACTTGTGATAGGGATCAAATTTCTGGTCACAATTCTATAATGGTTAATTCAGCTAACGGTCACTTCTTGTCTGCTAAAATGCACGCCTGCATCTGTTGGTATTCTATATGTTAAAGGCAAGTCAGTTTTCATAGACAGGTAAGTTTGGGAGAGGCTAGCAGAGTGCCTAAGGCATCTGACTGCTAACCAGAAGGTTGGTGGTTCAAACCCACCAGCCACTCTGTGGCAGCAAGACTGGGCAATATACTTCTGCAAAGATTTACTGCCTCGGAAACCCAATGGAGGTCACTATGAGTCAGAATCAATTTGATGGCAGTGGGTTTGGTTATGGTTTATAGTCTCTAAAGGATGGCTGCCCTGTGGGATCACCCTAAGTGTTCTAATGAAGTTGTTTTTTCACCTCATTAACTTAATCCTCTTGGCTAGTGTATTACTTACCTGGTAACACATTACTACAAATTTAGTAACTTAAAACCACACACATTTATTATCTCACAGTATCTGTCTGTGGTTTAGGAATCCTGGCATAGATTATCTGGGTTCTCTGCTTCTAGCTGTGATCAAAGTGCCAGTCAGGGCTGAGGTCTCATCTGAAGGCTTGACTGGAGAAGATTCCACTTTTAAACTCATGTGGTTATTGGTAGAATTCAGTTCCTTGAGGGTTGTTGGACTAGGCCCCTCAGTTCCCGGCTGGCTGTTTGGCTGGAGGCTACCTTTAGTTTCTTGCCACCTTTCAAACATGGCAGATTGTTTGATCAAAGCATGCAAGCCCAGAAAGCAGTGAAAACTGCTAACATGATGGAGGTCATAGTCTTATGTAAATGAGTCATGGAAATAACATCCCATCACTTTTGCTGTATTATATTGAACGGAAGCAAGCAAGTGGTCCCACCCACACTCAAGAGGAGGGAATTTCCCAAGGGTGTGAATACCGAGAGGCAGAGATCATTGGGGTCTTCTTAGCGTCTGCGTGCCACAACTGGGTTGCAAACAAGACTTGCCTCCCTCTGAAATCAAATGCACTGTAAATATTTTTGTTGTTAGGTGCCATCAAGTCATCTCCGACTCATAGCAACCCTGTGCACAACAGAACGAAAGACTGTCCAATCCTGTGCCAGCCTCACGATCCCTACTATACCTGAGCCCATCATTCCAGCCACTGTGTCAATCCATCTTGTTGAGGGCCTTCCCCTTTTTTGTTGACCCTCCACTTTACCAAGCATGATACCCTTCTCCAGAGATGGTTCCTTCTAGCAACAAAACCAAAGTATGTGAGACAAAGTCTTGCTTCTAAGAAGCATTCCAGCTGCACTTCTTCCAGGACAGATCTGTTAGTTCTTTTGGTGGTCCATGGTACTCTCAGTATCCTTCGCCAGCACCACAACTTAAAAGCACCAACTCTTCTTCAGTCTTCCTTATTCATTGTCCACATTGTAAATAGTTAACTGGAAATTCTCGTCCTATGTGAACAGCCCAACCACAGAAGTAAGACTTAGTGGATAAATTTGACACAAATTGTAAAGGATTAGTCCCGTACCCTTCTAGACATTGTCAGATGTTTCTTGTGGTATGTGAGTAGAACAAATGGACCATCAGCTGGAATTCTTTGCATCCTGCCCAGACCCTGACCCAAAGGAGACTCTACATAAAAGCAGTTTGCATAAATAGATTTTGGCTTCAAAATCTAGCTTAACTCAATCAGCTCTATCACTCTCCTTCTATAACAAATACAGAAAATATGGTACAATATCCTTCTTCCTGAAATTAAATCCATAAATAGAATTTATCTATATACATAATTTCAAATCATCAAGATGACATACTAGTAATATAGAAGACAAAAGGAAAATTGTTTATAATAAAATAATGTGTTTCAGTATGTAAATGCTCTAAAACAACATTGTTGGATGCTTGCTCCTACATTAGAATCACCGTTAATGAGATAGCTATAAATGCAAAGTAACACTTGCTACTGGCACGTGGAATTAAGGACTTGGATCCTACAGGTTGCCACTAGTGATGTGATTTTCCAGAAAGATGAACATTTCTTGGAAGTGTTCTGAACAAAACAAAAAAATAATCCTCCCACAATTTACATAGTATTTGCATTCTTGGAAAATTCAGTGCCTGTTCAAACTGTGTGGAAAAAAAGAACACTTTGTTTTGGAGCTAGTCTAGGCTCAGATAATTATAAACAAAGTTTTCATCTACAGGTGTGTCATACAGCATGCTGGAAAGTCATGAAGGCCTTGAGACAGTTTTTTGTACAGGATTTGGCTGCAGATAGTGGTCAAATGGCTGGCTCCCAGCACTTCCTCCTCCACACACTCCCCCCAGTTCCAGGAATGCCTCCCAATTATTGTGACAATGAAAATATCTCCTATTTCCTCAGCAGGCAGTGCCACTCCCCATTGAAAACCACTGCAGTAGTGCTTAATCTAGGGAAAGTGATGCAGTTCCATTTCATGGTTCAGTTGGACACAGTTAAGCCTAACTCAGAATATCATGATGATAAAAAGTGATGCATTCAAAAGCATCTATTGTGGCCCAGCAGCCAAGGCACAGTTCAGTGTGAGAGGAGAAAGAAAACCATGTTAGGCTGTTAATGAACCAGTAAGATATTTTGAATACTGAATTTTAAGAATACTCATGAAATGAATTCTTTTCCAACAGAAACCTGTTTCCCTCAAATCTAGTGGTTGCAGCTTTCCGAACGGTAAGATCTTGATGCTTTGCTGAAAATAGGAAACTTTGGGGTGTGGGGGGGTGGATGTATAAATTACTGCTATGTAATTAGGCAAGCTGGAACATGGAGAGATAGTGTTGTTAACAAAATCTGGTAACGTTGGCCTAAATTTTTATAGGTGGGCCCTGAAATTCTAATAAATAAATAAAATAAATAAGCAACAAAAACAAACTTCTAAAACATCTTCCTACTTCCAACATCTGTTTACATCACTTGAGGAATATCCTCAAATCGCATTTTGGGTATTATCTCTTAAATATTTTGGAATTAAAAAAAATACACTTTTATCTTTTTTTTCCCTACTATGAAAATAATATGTGAAGTAATATATGCTCATTACAAATAAATAAAATCCAAAATGAAAATACAAAAAAGTGGAAGAAAATAAAAATCTCTTGTAATCAACTGCCTCAGTGTCCCTGCGGAATGCAAAAGTTGAAGCACTCAACTGCTGATCGAAAGTCTGGCGGTTCAAACCCATCCAGAGGGGCCTCGGAACACAGGCCTGGCAATCTGCTTCTGAAAGGACACAGCCTTGAAAACCCCATGGAGCAATTCTACTCTGCACACGTGAGGTTGCCATGAGTCAGAATCAACTGGACTGGCAACTGATGACAACAATCACTACCCAGAACTATTCATTGTTACTGTTTTCTAACTTTTTCAGCTATGTTTTTTCTATGCATGCACACATACATACTTTAAGGACTAAAATAAGCTCATACTCCACATTGTTTTGTAACCTGCTCTTTTATAAGGTAGTATCCTGTGAACATTTTCTCAGGTCAGTAAACAGCCTTCTGCACAATTGCTAATGGCTGTAGAATATTCCACTGTAGGAGCATCCCATCATTTTCCTCTTTCAGTGAATGGATATTCATGTTGTTTCTAGTCTTTACCTATTTTTCAGTGATACTGCAACATCCCCATGGCCATTCTTTACACAGAAAAGAAATATAAATGTCTAGATGAGATTGTGTAATCTGATCACCTTTTTGCAGCAAAAAAAAGGGGTTATAAAATATTTTTGGGAGAAAGGGATGTTGCTTCCAATTGGATTAAAGTGCTTCACTGAGGTTGTTTTTCTATTTACAACCCCTCCTTTAAAAAAAAAAAAAAAAATCTGAATAGAAGCACAGGTGTGACTTGTATATATAATGTGACATAGCAAACAGTGTAGGTGAGTTTTATTTCTCTTGCTGCCTTGATCACAAGACAGCTGGTCATGGAGGCCCTGAAGCCTCAAAGGCAAGCTTAAAAGCAGGCCTCGGGGTTGCACCACCTAATGGGCTCCTCTAGACAGTTCAGGAACTGAGTGCCATTAAAAGGGGTCAGGAGATCTGTTTTATAACAGATTCCACTTGGTGTTGCCTGCTGCTTCTGGGAACCCATGTGCCCCGTGCAGAAGGATGTGCAGTCAGCCGTGACCAAAGTTGGAGAGAGTTGCACTTCTGATCAGTGAGCTTCTGCAATGCTTGACGGCCAGAAAATGCCGTCTAGCCTCGCATTCCTTACTTTGGAGAGTAGAGGTTCAAGCCAAATTAGAAGCAGATGCTGAAAACCAGTTACGCCCCAATAAGTTCTGGAACAAAGTGGAGCATAAATAAATGAATGGAAATAAAATGACACATTAAAAAGTAAACTTTGGCATTTTGGAATTAATACAAAGGCTATTCAAATAATATGAACTATCAGCTGCTTGAGGATGTGAAACTGCACAGACTTCTTCCTCTAGACCATTGCCCAAGGAATATTAGGATATTCTCCATGTTTCTTTGAGTCTCTGCATAACCAGAGGCCTTTTGGAATACATGCTATCTTCTTAATGTAACTTTTATACAGTTCTCAAAGCCCTCATTAGGCCAATCGAGTGAGGAACACTCAAAACACTCAGCTTGAATAGTGATACAAATAAGCCAGAGACCCAGCTACCCTCTTGGTCCCTGTCTTAACCTGTGAACTGACAGCAGGTTTTTCTTTTTTTTGCTCACAGTATGCAACTGATTACAAAATGGCAACCTACAACACAAGCTCTGGAAATGTAAGCGTTGAAAAGGTAAAGCTATTTTTAAGATCACTTATGAAAAATATCTATAAAGCAAATAATGTTACTTAACTGAAGGAACATAAATGATGCATCTTTTTCTCAGCGGGGTCTGAATAGACTGAAACACACAGGTTAGATTTGCTGCCTTGGTCATCTACCAACACAGACATACACAGCACCTGTAGCACTGGAATCCTCAGTGAAGCACTTTAATCCAACTGGAAGCAACATCCCTTTCTCCCAAAAATATTTTATAACCCCTTTTAATATCCTGAAATATACTAATAGGTGATTTAACCTACCTATATGCATGACTAAGCAGCTCTGGTGGCACAGTGGTTAATGTATTCTGCTGCTAATCAAAAGATCAGCAGTCCAAACCCACTAGCTACTTCACAGGAAAAAGATGTGGCAGTCTGCTTCTGAAAAGATTTACAGCCTCGGAAACCCTATGGGGCAGTTCTGCTCTGACCTAGGGTCACTGTGAGTCAGAATTGACTCATTTGACTCAATTGTTGTTGTTGTTATGTACCTTGGAGTCAGACCTGACTCACAGTGACCCCTCCTTGGGTTTCTGAGGCAGTATCACTAGGGAAGTAGATTGCCCAAGCTTCCTTATGAGGAATGGCTTACTAGCGTTGGTTTGAACCACCAGCCTTCTGGTAAGCAGTCAAATGCCTTAGGCATTACGCCACCAGAGCTCCTATTTGACTCAATGGTTTTATGTGCATAACTTTTAAAAATAACACAATAGAGAAATAAAAGTAATTTATAATAAAATAATATGCATTTCACTATATAAATGCATAACCATACGAAGATACATAATGATGTTTTCAGATATTTGCATCTACTTAGGATGAATAAATTTATATTTAAAAACAATTCAAGGAACCCTGGTAGCTCAGTGGTTAAGCACATGGCTGCTAACCAAAAGATCAGTGGTTCAAACCTACCACCTGCTCCATGGGAGAAAGATGTGGCAGTTTGCTTTCATAAAGATTATAGCCTTGGAAACTCTATTGGGCAGTTAGCTCTACTCATCCTATAGTGATGCTATGAATTGGACTCAATGGCAACAGGTCAATGGAGACATAATTCAACTGAATAGTATTGGCATTTTTTAGGAGGACATTTTGAAATAAAGGCTAAATAAATATTTTTGTATATGTATAGAGAAGCACCCTGAATGTAACAGCTACAACCCCCACAGATATAATATGTGTGTGGTACTGATGACTTGGATATTATCAGCCCTTCAGCTTGGTGAAATAATTTTCTAAAAAAGGTGAACAACACTTGGTAAAGTTCAGAACAAAATAGAGTACATTGTTCCTTCAGTTTACATGAACTTGATGTTCCTGGAAAATCTAGTGTATATTAAATACGCACCAATAGAAACCATGTTTGTGTATAAAAATGGAATCGGTGCTCAGCTCAGATGATGAGTGTTTCCCTAAATGACTGTCTTCTGGGATGTTCAGAAACCAGTGGGGTGTAGGGAAGTCTGTGCTTTAGTGCTTGGTGCATTTCAGGACATCTGATGTCCCTGACACCCTGGCCATTATTTCCCGTTAAGACCTTGCAATCATTATGGCAACCAAAACTACCACCACGCATTCCAAAACTCCCTGAGGGAAGTTTCTCCCCTGTTGAGAAATGTTGACTTAGTCAGTGACCCTTGATTAAATAGGATGGATGTCCCTCCCTACCCCCTGGCCCTGAGATGAGGGGGCCAGAAAGGGGGAGGGAGGCCCATTGACCCTCTTCTGACAATCCCTGGACTCCAGAGCATAGCTAATTGCTATGTAGGAGTCAGCTATGCCCATTCTCTAGGAACGTGGGTCACCCTGAATGATACCTTCATGGTACAGACAGTCTCTTCACAACCTGCTTGGATAGGATTCATTATCCCCATCACACATTACTTGGAATGATGATTCTCAGGATTGAGCAAGACTATTTGAAAGCAAGAGTGATGAGTAAATTGAAGCCTCAACTGTTACACAAATAAAACTAGCCAGCGGTGGTTATAACTGCAAATCTAAGTTCGACCAGAAGGTCCTCAAAGTAACATGAGTCATATTAAAGGAAGAATTATAACCTGGAAAAAGAAAAGAAAAAAAGAGTGATGAGTAAAGCTTAGAACACTGGCCATCTCTGCAGTGCCTTCATATTTTTGGCAAACATGGTATTTACCAGCTGCTCTGACCCCCACCGGAAATGCCAGTGACCCATGAGCTCCACCCCAGCAGATATGCTCTTGCCCCTACTGTAAGCCAGAAATGCACAGACTCAGACATTATGAAACAAAAGAATGATGTCTCCTTGCTGGTTCCAGGGTTTGATAAACCCTGTGGCTCTAAGACTGAGTAAAGACATAGCAGGGGTGGTCCGTGCCTCTGAGGATGGGATGTTGTTGACACAGTGGGAAACTGGGGACACAGAGGCCCAAGAACATCTAGAAAGACCTTGCCCCTGACCAGGGCTCTGTCTTTCATGCCCACTTGACCCCATGTGGTAACCTCCTAGTTAGCATACCTCCTAGGCTTTGAGTCATTCATTCATTAAACAGATTATGGTGTTTAATTCATCCATTAAACGTTAGACCTGCTAAAACCCATTTTTTATAAATACTCAAATTCCCTGGTTGCATCAGTTCTTAATTCCATTTAGGAGTTGGGACATGGACAAAATATCTGAGTTGACAGGCCCAAGGACAACACCAGATATTAGCTAGCTTATAGTATCCTGGCAGTGTTGACTTCTCCAGGGCCCCCTGCAAGCTATTGGTAGAGCAAGGTACAAAATCCAAGTCTTCCCTTTCCCACAGTTCATTAAACTGTACCTACTATAGCTTTAGTAGGTCAAGATCCAAGAGAGCATGGTGATATTCAGAAGTCTTATTGTCTATGGGATTAAAATAATACTGCAAGGAAACACTCCAGACAGCATGAACCTAGAGTGATCTCTAACAAAATATCCCATTGTAATAATAATAATAATAGCTAATACTTGTTGGGTTTCATTTGTCAGATACAGTCTAAGTACTTTACATATATTATCATATTGAATCTTGACAATAACCTTAACCAAGGTTATTGTGGTTAACCAAGGTTAACCAAGAAAATCCTGTGGAATAGTTCTACTCTGTAACACATGGAGTCACCATGAATTGTAATTGATTTGTTGGCAACCAGCAACAATTGTTATTATCCCCATTTTATAGATGGGGAATTGAAGCACAGAGAGGTTAAGTAACTTATCTAAGGTCACACAGCTAGGAAGTGGTGGAAGTCAGACTGCAAAGCTTATGCTCCTTAACTATTAATACTACTACTCTTCTATAAGTAATACAAATCAATATTACCAAAGGAGGTATATATGGTGATAATTGTACTATTGCAGCTTTTCTATTACATTTAGTTTTTCCATGATAAAATTTGTAAGAAAATGAATATTTTTACAGTACTTTTGAATTCATGGTTCCTGGCTCTTTTCATGTAGCTCATACCTGTCACCCAGTTATCTCCAGTTCACTTGGAAATTAGAAAAAGTTTTGAATATTTGTGGTAATTTTATTGAAGAAATAAACAAGCTTCTTGGTACTTCTGGCAAAGGTAACAGTGTAAAATCATGGCTTCTGAATAATTGAAGATCCCTGACTGCTAACCAGAAGTTGGCGATTCAAACCCACCAGCCACTCCTTGCAAGGATGACTGGGCAATCTACTTCCATAGAGATATTGCCTTGGAAACCCAAGAAGGGGTCGCTATGAGTTGAAATGGACTCGATGGCAGTGAGGGTTTTTTTTTTTTTTTTTTTTTGTCTTATGGGCTTAATTTGCTATAGCTGTCATTCATTCACACATATTTTTTTAGTATCTGTTGTCTGCCAGGTACTGAGCTAGTCCTAACCTTTGTGGAGCTCACACTCAGGACATGTAAACTATTAGAGCTGGGAGGGATGGGAAACCTTAAGGGTTATTCAGTCCAGTGATTTTCAAATTGTGTTGCAGAACTATCATGGGAGAGAGAGCTACTTCCAACCACCCCACACCTCTTGTCTCCCTGGGGTAAAGACCTTTCTTTGATTGAAAGAAAAGCTCTACTTTAAAAAAAAAGAAAAAAAATTTGAAAGCTACTAATTTAGTCTAATTTGCTTCATCTCACAGATGATGAACTTTATCTCAGAGTAGTTGGTTAATAATCAGAGCCTGGACTAGAATGGGGATCAGGGTTAAAATGCTCTTTCTGTTTTTCCATGTTGACATAGGTTTCCTGTTCAGAATTTCATAACAGGTTATATATGGTGAGATAAGACGTTTGTCTAGTATATGCATACAGCAGTGAGACTCAGCATGCTGGAGAAAATTATGTTTATGCATTATGTTTATGCATTTGAAGCCAGAGATTTAGGAAAGAATGTCCTGAAAAAGTCCATGTTGATCCTGAACATCTTTTGTGAAATGAGTCAGCTAGGAGTCCACTGTAAGATCCTAATAATAAAAAAATGTGTGGGTATTTAGGAGGCAAAGTCACAGTCATCGACTCTTGATTTGAAGGAACTGCTCAACAACCAGGTGTTCTTTTAAAAGCAGTCCTTCAGGATGATTATCCAACCTCTGCTTAACTCTGTCCAGTCACAGGGAGCTCACTATTTTGTGCTTTGACCTATGCCATTTTTTAACAGCTTTCAGAGTTAACAACTAGGTGAAATTTTTATTTATTGACTCTGTTTCAGACTCTATCTTCCCTTTGGTTTCTTCAACTAATTCATAAAGTGAAATCACTAAACCCCACCCACTGCCATCAAGTCGCTTCTGACTCATAGCAACCATATACAACAGTGTAGAACTGCCCCATAGGGTTTCCAAGAGTGTAAATCTTTATGGAAGCAGACTGCCTTATCTTTCTCCTGTGGAGTGCCTGGTGGGTTCAAACCATCAACCTTTTGGTTAGCAGCTGAATGCTTTACCACTGCACTCTTTGAAATCACTAAAGGTTAAAGAAAATACAAACCATTTTCTTATTCTAGACAGTGTTTCAGTCTGGTAGAGACATCAAGCAAATTTTCATCATTAATCATCTCTCATTTGTTATGAACTTGTGCAATTCTTTCCCCTCATCCTGTAGATCCCCTTTGGCACTGAGATCGAGGGAATGAACATTTTGGGATTGGTCCTTTTTGCCCTGGTGTTAGGAGTGGCCCTAAAGAAACTAGGCTCTGAAGGAGAAGAGCTCATCCGTTTCTTCAATGCCTTCAACGAGGCAACGATGGTGCTGGTGTCCTGGATTATGTGGTGAGTGTTGCCCCTCCTCCTTCTCTCCTTTTCTTTTCTCCTTCATCCAGAAAAGAACCTGAAACTACCATTATGATTATCCCTGTGGGGCTACATGGCCCAGTGCTTTGTATTGGTTGATACACCAAAGGCTGGTCTTGGTTAAGGGGGTGATGGAGATACAGGTAGGTGTCTCCTCTTGTTGAGGACCTCAGAAAGTTCCACATGTTCTAGTTACTGATCCCCTCTTCACTGCCCAGAGTGACCCGTGGTGGTTCTATGGCCATGATCTATTTATGAGTTCCACCTCTCTCATCTTATGGGGCACTTAGTTCCATATGTTTGCTATCTGCTACATTACATAAGACTCATTTATCTTAAAATAATAGACTTCAGATTTCAAAGGGACCCCTTATTGTGGTATATCACAACCTGAAGGACAAGTCCATCTCTACTCCATGCATGTAAAACTTGGAGTTGTCCTCTTTTAAATGAGTTTTATTTCATAAATGTTTCTTTGTGTAATATCAGTGAAAGAATGATTGTTCAATAAAAATCATTAAGTTGATTCCTGGCTGAAAAATAAAAATTTGACCAGATCTCTCAAAGCAACTTCTCAGAAAGTATACCATTTCAGCATCGATTGTGCCTAAGCTTTATCCTCCTTTTTCACCCAAGCCGAATTTCTATGGGTCTCAGATATCAAGAAACTAGTTTATCCTTTCATGTACATTTTCCTCATTGTCAACCCTTAAAGGCCCTAGAGCCTTTATCTCTCTGATAGCATCAGAGAGACTGCCTTCTGGAGAAAAGCCTGGAATTTGGTAGGAAAGTTGGGAATTGATTAGAAGATCTATGCTAAAGCCCACATCAATGTTGTTTGTCTTACTCAATCTAAAGATTCCAGAGTTTGGCTCTATCATTGCAAACATGACACTTTATATAAGTGCTGTCATTCTAGGGAGAGATTTGATATTTCCAGAAAGGAAAAAGCGTTTCCATCCCATGTCAGGTTTTTCCTGATTTTTTTTTAAGTTTAAAATCTTCCCAAGGTTTAGCATAAAGGAAAAAGGAAACTATGTGAGAAAGTGATGTGTGATGTTCTCATGTTAAGACATTTTTTTTGAACCTGGAAACCAATTTATAGTCATCCCTTCAATTTGTTGACTAGTCACTTAAGTAGGTATTAATTAGGGCAGACCCTGCTGAGCAGTGGGGGATCTGTTACCCAGAAAGCACATATTACACAGATTTGCAGTTTGTGATGCCTTAACCAATTAAGGTATCTCAACCAGCTGGGAGAGGATCTTTAGTAGTAGCTCTTTAAGTCCTCAGTTCTTTTCTACTTTCTTTCCTTCACTAATCACCTCTACAACCAAAGCATCTGCCTACCGTACACTGTTCAAAGAAATACATTCTAGACGAATTAAACACTTGGCTGGGAAATTTTTCTTAAAGGGCCAGAGAGTAAATATTTTAGGTGTTATGGGCCATTAAGGTCTTTGTCACAACTACTCAATTCTGCTGTTGTAATGTCAAAGCGGCCATAGACCTAGCCATAAACAATATGTAAATGGATGAGTATGGCTATGTTCTAATAAAACTTTATTTACAGAAAGTCATGGTGCCAACTCCTCAATTTAACTAATTAGGAAGAAAAGAAAGAAGGAAGGAAGCCCTCTACAATTATTAGAAGAAAATATAAACCAGAAAAACCAAACTCACTGCCGTCAAGTCAGATCCGACTCATAGCGACCCCGCCTTGGGTTTCCGAGTCGGTATCACAATGGAAATAGATTGCCCAACCTTCCTTCCGAGGAGTGGCTGGTGGGTTTGAACAACCAGCCTTCTGGTTAGCCGTCAATTGCCTTAGGCACTATGCCACCAGAGCTCTCAGAAGAAAATATAGGAGATGGGAAAGTCCTAAATAAGATACAAAAGCTAAAGCCGTAAAAAGCTGTTAAATTTGTGAACTGCTGTGTGAAAGGTGAGTTTACTCTGTGAATCTTCACCCAAATCCTAATAAAAATAAATAAATAAATAAAAAAAAAAAAAAAAAAAAAAAAGCTGTTAAATTTGACTACATCAAAATATAAAACATCAATATATAACATATACCATGAAAAAAGTTAAAAAACAAAAAACTTACTGAAAAAAACTGGGTATCTATTTATATACCTAATGTATTTAAATGTAAACACAAACACACACACACAAATTTCAAAGCATTAGTATCCAAAGGAGTGGGACTAGCTGAAACTCTTTCTTCAGTGAGATTTATAAAGAAATTGAGAATAAGTGTTTTGAAACTTTTACAGCAATTTGACACTGCTTATGTAGCATCTAAGCTTATGATCATTTTTCTAATATTTTTATTGTATTTTATAAAAATACTGGCCCATAAGAGACTGGAAATAGAAATAAACTTGTCTTTCATGAAAGCTAGCTTGAGAAGCACTAAGGTAGAGCTCCAATTACTGAAAAAGATAAAAGACTGAAAAAGCTATTAGGAAATTGATAATGTCTGTGAACAGGCAACTCCCGGAAGAGTAAACCTGAATGACCAATAAACACTTACTGTCCAACCTCACTGAAATCAGGGAAATGAAGTTTGTTTTTTTGACCTATTAGTAAGGGTGAGTGCAGGGGTTTTCCACCTTCAACTATTGGCACGTTGTTGTTGGGAGCTGTCCCGTGCACTGTGGGATGCGGAGCAGCGTCCTTGGCCTCTATCCATTTGATGTTGGTAGCAGTCTCTCCTCCAGTTTTGTACACCCAAAATCCTCTCCAGACATTGCGAAACGCCCTCTGGGGGCAAAGTCACCCTTCCCCTTCTGATTGAGAACCACTTGCTTAGAGAAAGGATTATTCTAAACTGCTGGTGGCAATGTGAATTGGAACAACTATTTGGGAAGCAATTTGGCAGTATTTACTAAAGCTTAAAATGGGCACACCCCATAACTCATCAGCTCCACTTTTTGGTGTCTCTACCTAGACTGTAAAAGCATGAGGGCACAAAAAGGCACGTAGCATACAGGCTGATGGCAGCAGTGTTTGTAATGGAGAAAAACTAGGGCCAACTTCAGTGTCCATCAGGAGGGCTATGGGAAAATAAACTATGGTATTCTAGTCTGAGGACAGTATTGAAAGCAAATGAGGTGGATTGCTATATATTGATACAAAATATCTCAAAGACATAATAGGGTGTGAAAAATAAGCTTGCAAATTTAAATAGATACATATGTATCTAAATGCACAGGAAATAGGAGTGGGCATCTGAGGAGGGGGACTGGCTTGAGGATGGTGCCTAAAGATTATTTTGGCCTAATCTATGTGAAGTTTTAATTTCTTAGAAGGAGATTATATTCATGTATGACTGTGGAATTTAAAATGAATAATACTGCTTCGAATACCTCTGAAAAGTAAAGTCAAGAAACCAGTGGCATTGGTTATATCCAGGGAAGGGGAAACCAGGTGCTTGGGGCCAAAGGTAGGAGGGAAACTGCGCTATTCATCTTTTTGTACCTTTTGAAAATTGAACTATGTGACATTATTACTGATATATTTAAAACGTACACATAGATAAAATCTATAGTTACATAATTCTTCCTCAATTTGTATTAAATTCAAAACAAGTGACTTTTGTTCATTGTAAATCCCATAATCAATCTCTCCCTTCCTCCTTCCTGTCCTTCCATTAAAAAATTTTCACACTCTTAGAGTGTTCCCTGCATGTCTTTGTTAATGACTTTTTCCCACAGAATCATGTTTTCCAAGCCACAAAAGGACTTAAAAGTTCACAAAAGCTCCAGCTTTGGCTCAGTTTTGTCTCACAGCAGTTCTGTGAGGTAGGTGTTACTCTTTTGCTAACTTTTGCTGACTTTACTAAGTCACAGAACAAGCATGAGCAAAACTGAATGTCCACCTCATAGTCCCTGGAGGCTTTGATGCCTTTCCACTTGGGAGGCACCCCACTCCCACCCCCCACGCTTGGTAGCATCCACCTGTTAGGAACATAATATATCCAAGGGAAAAGAAGTCTGAGTTCTGGTCCTGACTCCATTACCCAAAATGAGTGATAGCATCTTAATTGTACTTTTTCACAGCCCGTAAAATGGAAATGATTTGCCCCCATCCTTTCTGTTCCTGAGGATTATTCAAAGGAGAGATGGAAACCCCTCAGTTGAAGTCCCTGCCTTCTATAGCAGGAAGGGCCTGCATGTCCCAGTCCCCACATCACCCTTCTCACTGAGTACCCTGTGCTTCTGCCCTAGGTATGTGCCTGTGGGCATTACGTTCCTGGTTGGAAGCAAGATTGTAGAAATGAAGGACATCATCGTGCTGGTGACCAGTCTGGGCAAATATATACTTGCATCTATACTAGGCCATGTTATTCATGGGGGAATTGTTCTGCCACTTATTTATTTTGTTTTTACACGAAAAAACCCATTCAGCTTCCTGTTGGGCCTCCTCACCCCATTTGCAACAGCATTTGCCACCTGCTCCAGGTGAGTGGGTTTCAGGTGTCCCTGGCTGCTCTGAGCCATGGAATCAGATGAGCCCTGTGGGAGATGCGTGACCAGTGTCTCATCATATTTTAAATCCTTGAAAATCTAAATTAGTCTCATCTGATTGTTTTCAGTACAAGCCCTACAGCTCTTTCATATTCCTGTGGGGTGGGTTTTCGATCTGACCCCTCATCTCTTGAGGTTACCTCATTCCCTTTTCCTCCTCTTGCTCAGTTAGATCATTAGCCCAACTATGATCTAATTAGTAAGATCTTTGGTAGTGGCTTAGTGGTTAAAACATTTGGCTACTTTGGTAGTTAAATTTGTATGTCAACTTGGCTGGCCTGGTTGAGTGGCTGGACAGCTGGTGGTAGTTATTCCCCATGATGAGACTGGAAATCAACTCCATGGTGAGATCTACCACAAGCTGCTCAGTAGCTGCCTTTGGGGATGTGGTCTGCTTCCTGTATATAAGGAGAAGCCTTGGGGATACTCTGTAGTTTATGGCATACTTGGACCCTGCATGTGGCCCTGTCGTTGTTCAGCAGTCTACCATGCTCTGCTGACCTTGGGACTTACAATGGACTTGAGTTAATGGCCTGCCATGTGGTTTGGTAACATTGGGACTGTGCCATCTTATTTGTTGACCTTGGGCTTGTTAGCCTCAGCAGCCAGTAGCTGCCTGAGTGAAGAGATGCCTCTAGCTTCAGTGGGCTGGGAGCAAGAGCAGAGCTGAAGCCCAAGGTCAAGGGGCTTTCACCCAGCCCCTAGAGCCTGGCACTTTGAACTTGGACTTAAAGCCTCCAAACTGTAAGAGAATAAACTCCTATTTGTTAAGGCCATCCCATTTGTGGTATATTCCTGTCAGAGCAGCACTAGGTAACCAGAACAGCTACTAACCAAGCAGTTGGTGGTTTGAACCCATCAGCATCTGGAAGAAAGATGAGGCAATCTACTTAAAGATTTACAGCCTTGGAAACCCTATGGTGCAGTTCTACTCTGTCCTGTAGTGTTGTTAGGCAACAGAATGAATGCAATAACTGTGGGTTTTTTTCTTTTTTTTTTGCCTGGGTACAAGAAGACAGCCTATGTAACTCAAGAAACACATCATAGGGCAGTTTCTATGCCCAGTCTACCCTCTCTGGGTGCATGAATTAGAAATAACATACGTAAGACCAAGGAGGCATGCTGAGGGATACGTACTCAGTTCTGAGTTTTGTGAAATTACCTAATTTAGCCCAAAAGAAGCAACTTGTTATCCATTGGAAATCCTTCAAAAAAGCATTTGGCTTTCCAAAGTATGACATTAAACGATGTATGATGCCGGTACATCGTTTCATTTATACAATTAATAATTGTCTCTCCGCTACATACTTCCTTCTATCCTTGAAGGCTATCTATATTGACCAGATGATAAAAAAGAATTTAAAAAAACCAAAAAATTCAATGTTGCTGAGTTGATTCCGACTCATAGCAACTCCTCTTTGAGCTTCTGAGGCGTTAAATCTTTATGGAAGTAGTTGCTCAGTCTTCTCTCCATGGAGTAGCTTGTGGGTTTGAACCACCAACCCTCTGGTTAGCAGTAACATGCCTTAGGCACTACACCACTAGAGCTCCTTAAAATGAATTAGGGAGTTATATTTGTGTGGTAGGAAGGTGTTCTTCTCAAAGAAAAAGAAAAGAATTAGAGAGGTGTATTTTTCTGCCCAAGGAGGGATCACTATGAGTCAGATCCAACTTGATGGCAGTGGGTTTAGATTCGTATTTTTTTGCCCTAGACAGAAACAATCCTAATTTCCAGCTGCCCCAGCTAACCTTTGTGGAGCATGCAGAACCAGTTGGAGAGAAATGCCCTATTCTTAGCTGTGGGCATTTCATGCTTACTTAATTACTCTTTGCAAACTCTGCCAGCCTTTTCTGCTTCTTGCCCTAAGAGAAAGAAAAAAAGAATCGTAGCTTGTACTTTACTTTTTGGAGAAAACATTTAGGAGAGGAGATGAAGAGATGCTCAGATAAGTAAATAATTCTTGATCCTCTGGTAAACATTTTGCACCAAGAGACAAGGAGAAATTGGGAACAGGTGAGTCCAAGTAAATACCGAAACAGATAAATCCAACTAGTCATACTGTGAGTACTTTTGGAGTTGACAGAACCCCATGTTACGACAGAAACTTTGAAACCATTTTGGGTGCTTTCTCGTATTCCAAAAGAAAAATGCCCAAATCTGGGATGATGCTAATTACTTTTCTAGGGTTCTAGATGACTGGTGGGGTAGTGCCTAAGGCATATGACTGCTAACCAGAAGGCTGGTGGTTCAAACCCACCAGCCACTCCTCGGAAGGAAGATGGGGCAATCTACTGTGATAGTGATACTGCCTCGGAAACCCAAGGAGTGGTCTCTGTGAGTCAGATCCAACTCGACAGCAGTGAGTTTGGTTTTGAGTTTTGAGATGACTGATGTGTGGCTGGAAGGGACTGTTCTCACAGTTTCTCATTTTTATTTATTTATTTATTTATTTTGTGTTGACTTTTTGTTTCCATTTCTAGTTCAGCAACTCTTCCCTCTATGATCAAGTGCATTGAAGAAAACAATGGTGTCGATAAGAGGATCAGCAGGTTCATTCTCCCCATTGGGGCCACTGTGAACATGGATGGCGCAGCCATCTTCCAGTGCGTGGCCGCAGTGTTCATTGCCCAGCTGAACAACGTACAGCTGAATGCAGGACAGATATTCACCATCCTGTAAGTTCCTTCTCTTCCTCTTCTATAGGCTGGGGTCTAAACCTGAGGTTTCTCTTGTGATTTCCTTTGGAAAACCTCATGCAAGCCAATCTCCCCACATCTCAGGTATCTTATTTGTAAAATGAGGAGAGTGCATATTCATTACTAGAAAAGAGTGGATCGTCTCTCAAGGGCTCAGCTGGCAAGATCTCTGAGTGTGTGGTTTTCAGGTTCCAAGCCATGGCTGGCATGTTTGGCATTTCTCCATGGACACTCCATGCTCTGTGTTAAAGGCTGACCCTGCTTTGTTATCACCTAGAGTGACCGCCACAGCGTCCAGTGTTGGAGCAGCAGGCGTGCCAGCTGGAGGGGTCCTCACCATTGCCATTATCCTGGAGGCCATCGGGCTGCCCACTCATGACCTCTCTCTTATCCTGGCCGTGGACTGGATTGTGTAAGTAGCAAGTCCCAGATGGGTTTGAAGACAGTGCCACTGATCATTGAGGAAAGCTTATATTGAGTGCCCCAGGAGTCTGACAGCTCTGCTAGGTGTGGAGCATGCAGACAAACTTAAAGCAGGGTCCCTGTCTTACGACAGAGCTTATAATTGAGCTGATAAAACAAGATTTAGAGCTAGGAACAATTAAAGAATAAAAGATTCAAATGACCACGGATGGCCATGAAATATCATCATGACCAAGAACTTGGCTTGTAGCATCCAGAAAAGCAGAGGTCCAAGACCCAGGCTAGGGTACTCAGGGTAGGCCCAGGAACCACAAGGGCCTTTAGAGGTCTTGACAATGTAGGAGTGATAGCCATAGCACCAGTGATCCTTCAGGAATGACTGCCCTTGACATGGAAATGCCCAAGGAGTGGTTTCTGCAAGGGGAGAGAAGAATATGAATACTCCTAATAAGAGTGGTTCAGGCTTGGACTCAGGGGAGGAGGAATTTGGGAAGGTGGCATGACCCAGACCACCATCTCCAAGGCAGATGTAAAGACAACAAACAGTTTCTGGGTATTGATTCCTTAAGTCTTGTGATACCTTTTACCTGTTTGAAAGAAAGGTCAGCTGAGACACTGATGTTGAGAAATAGACAATAGATAGAGCATTTTAAGTAAGAAAATGGAGCCTGGGGTCCAAGGGCCTGGATTTGACCCCTGACTTCTCCACTGAATAAACCAAAAAACAAAACTCACTGCCATCGAGTCGGTTCCAACTCATAGCAACCCCTCTTTGGGTTTCCAAGGCGGTATCTCTACGGAAGTAGATTGCCCAACCTTCCTACCAAGGAGTGGCTGATGAGTTTGAACCTCCAGCCTTCTGCTTAGCAGTTAAGTGCCTTAGGCACTATGCCACTAAAGCTCCTTCACCATTGAATAGCTATGTGAATATTAAGTGTTTTGTGCTTCAGTTTTCTCATCTATAAAAATGGGAACAAGAAAAGCGGGGGCAAGATGGCGGACTAGGCAGAAGGATTGCACAGACCCTCTTCAACAAAGAAAAGGGAAACCAATTAACACAGATACAGAAGATAATCTTGGACCACTGAGCCTTGAAGGAAAGGATGCAGATTTGGACTAAACCCCAACTAGCAGAAGAATTTGCGTGAAAATACCAAAAAAAA